GAGAGAGAGAGAGAGAGAGAGAGAGAGAGAGAGAGAGAGAGAGAGAGAGAGGGAGAGAGAGATACTTACATTCGCATATAAAATTACCTGCAAGTGCGTTAAAACGCAACTTTTCAGAAGGTGGTGTAAACTCCCCATGTAGAGACAAATGCAGGTCAGTTGATTTTAGATTGCATGTCTGCTCACACGGTAAGATGACATACCCGCACACAATACTGAAATAACATGTCGGCGAATGAAATGAAATTACCATGTTGAATTACTCGTTCAATTGGTTGTTGAGTTGTTTATAACTCGTAACTTTCAGTGCCCATGTTACTATATAAGGCAGATACATTCCAACAGAAATAGGATTTCCATATCCAGCAGAACGTCGTTCTCAAGCATTTACTATATCTATTTTATTATCACAATTATATATATGATTTATACCATAATCACACTATAAATATGAATATACCTAATATATATATATATATTAAATATATATATATAATATTATACAATGTTTGTTTTTAATAACTCTGATTATGTTGGTCGTAATTTATAAGCTGTGTATTTATTTACTATTTCGTTAGATTCTAAGTAATAGTAATACTTACTGAGAGATACATGAGGGAACACTTGTTGCAAAAACGAGAAGAATGTTCCATCCTACGGAATATGAAATTTCAACTTAAAACTGCGAACCACGAATTAAATATTTAATTTTTTCTCGAACTCGAAACTCCACGAATTTGATTTATATTGAAATAAATGGTTTCTAACAATAAAACGTATGACACGCGATTGAAATGGTATTTGTATTTGTAGAGCGCCCGACCTTGGTTTATTAGATCGTATCCGGGTAATAGTAGGATCGGTAGAAAATAAGTCATGTTGCTTAAATGTATGAATGAGAGTGCACCATAGTTATACAAATAAATATGATATCACCGCATTACTTTTAATTATTAATTTAATAAATAATAATTAAATATTTATTAATTAATTAATCGTCATTTTTCTTTCATAGATCAAATATCGGGCCCGTACAACGCATGCAGGCTAGCATTAATCTGTGTCGCGACCCTGCTATATCTTAGTTAAAACGCTAATCTATTTAACCTCCAGATATCCCCAGTGTGCGATGTATCTATTGTACATTTCCCAGTCACGAATTCCCCAGGAGTGCAGCCTGAAACCTCTCAGCAGAAGAGTCCTCTCGGGTTCACTTGCCACCTTTAATCTACCAAACAGCTGACCACAGACCTCATACCTCTGATGTTCCTTACTGGAAAAATTAGTGTACATAAAAATAATGTTCAGTTCTGTGCGTTAAAATGACTAGTTTCTCCTTATATATAATATATGATCTCGTGCAGTTTAGCAGATAATTTCTTATTTTAAATTACAAATATGGTAATTCTAACTCGTACTCTCGAAATAACAATGAACGTGCAAATACGTAAACTAGCAAAGCTAGACGTTCCCACAGAGTCGTAATAAGTGAAACAACTTACTAACGACTCCTACTAATGTTGACCAACTTTCAAAGATAGCGGGTATGTGTACGACTGCGCGTGTGCGCGTGCGTTTGTGCGTGCGTGGGTGCATGTGCGAGTGTGCTGTTCATGAAAACGTGCGTGTGGCCGCGTTTGCGTGTGCGTAGGTGCATGTGCATGTGCGTGGGTATGTACGTGCATGTGTGTATTTGTGCTTGTGTGTGCCCGCAAACATGCCTAACCCGAGTGTAAGATCAGGGGCGGATCCAGAGAGGGGGGGGTCGAGGGGGTCCGGACCCCCCTTTTTACCACAAAAAAGAAAAAAAACATACACACACACGCACGCACGCACGCACGCGCGCGCGCGCACACACACACACTTCTCTTATATTGTCTCCATAAAAAATCTTGTTTAACGCTAGTTTTTCTGATAAAGATTCACTTATATATATGTAAATTCGTTATAAAAACCTAGAAATTGGCAAAGAGGGGTCCGCAGGCGTCAGGGGGACCGGATCTGATAAATTTTTGCATTCTAGACATAAAAATTACTGCTCAGATGCTCTCAGAATGCATCAATTAAAAAAAAAATCTTGCTGGAAGGTCTCACAAACCCCTCTAAATGGCCTTCGGCAGCTTTTTAAAACACCAGAACAAGTAAGCAGGAAAAAGTGCCCTTTATTTCTTCCTGGACACCCTCTTTTCAAAAATCCTGGATCCGCCCCTGAAGATTACATAATTTTCGCTATAGCTATCGTTTTGAGCGCACCTAAACGTGCTTAAACGTTTGAAGAAAGAAGCACTCCATGGTTCTCTAGCAACAGCATCAGAAACCACGGATGGGTCGTTGTCATTATTGAATGAATACCGTTCCCTCAGTGCCGTCCACCTACCAAACAGCGTTGCTATTAATCATTTGCATGTCATTCACATGTTTTCTCAACACAATTACCAGCTAAGAATATTACTCTCTATACAAGACGAACGTGAATAAAACATGCACGAATGAACATTGTTCAAACTACGTACGCAACCTTGCTTAATTCCGACTGAAATTTATAGACATTGATTTCAGTGTTTTTCCTTGTTCCGCTCTATTTTACTCATCTCTAGCTACTTATCATGTGCTCTTGTTTACATATAGCTTTTTACGCTTCTTCCACCGCCTACTTGATCGACGGTGCATAGGATTGTCGGAAGCAAACACAAACGCCTACCCTCAAGTACGTGAGGAACCAGACCAGCCAGTGCCGGATTTATACACAGGTTAAACCAGCTTATAGAACCAGTTATTAGGTCCTCAGAGTCTGAAGAGGCCTCTCAAAATCTCAGTTTTTTTTACTTGTAACAGTTTTATTATATGTTATATTTAAGTAATGATTTAACCTAATTAACCAAATTTCTCTGCTAACAATTGCCGATTAGGGCATCTACAGCTTTCCATGGCTTAGGGCCTAACCACGTCTAGGTCCGGCACTGAGACCAGCCTTTACAAGCGGCTCACACACTGCTATCTCGATGTAATAATTTGTTGTTCACGTTCGCGTTGCCCCTAGCTGATGAAATATAAGAATGTTTGACAAAACCTGTTCGATTATTCGAGCACTTAGGCAAGGCAACTTACACAACTTACACTTACACTTACACAACAACACTTACACAAAGGCAAACTCGACGTGGACCAGATTCCCCTCGTCATTTGCGTCCCATTTGTTCCTCTGCCCATGCCTACAAAAGCGGAAATGAGTAATCGCACTTTCACACTCAATCACACGCACACACAATCGTACACACGCACACACACTCGTACACACGCGCGCGCACACTCACACACACGCACACGTACACGCGCACACACACGCACACACACACGCGCGCGCGCACGCACACCCACACACAAACACACACACACAGACACACACACACACACACACACACACACACATACACACACACACACACACACACACACACACACACACACACACACACACACACACACACACACACAC